CTATAAGTGCAAGGAGTAGATAAATCAGCCTCACAATAAGAAAATTACAAATATATATATATATGCAAACTAGGAAGATATTGCCATCATCAGTGATGTCTGGAGTGCATTAAGTATCATTTGTGAGCCTAAACTAGTTTAAATTTATATATAGTAAATGAAAGCAGTAGGTTTCTTTTTCAGAATGAAAGACCAAGAAGAGCCAGAGGTAGAAGGGGAGCAGGAAGAGCAACACCAAGAGCTGCAAGAAATAATGTAAGACCTTTCTTCTAATTTTAAAGTCTCATAAATAAAGTTTTTGAGAATTGTTGTTATTTCTAATTTAAGAACGTGAAAGAAGCATTTTATTAACCCTTGTTCCTTGATGAACTTTTGTTTTTTGATGTCCCCCATCCATACTTTTTTAAATAAAAATTGCTATAATAAATTAAGGGTAATAAATGTTTTTAAATTTTAAGACAATATTTATAACCATATAATACAAGTTTGATTTTCAGCCAGGTCCAAAGTATAGTTTGGGAGTTATGACTACTTAGCTAATAGCAGTGGTATCCATGTCCTCAGACATATTCTGTTGTATTTTAAACATTAGATTTGATAATAAAAAAGTGGTTTATTAGGGCCCTATGGTAATCACTCTGTCAGTCTGTCAGTCTGTCCGTCTGTCTGCCAGTCCGTTACACTTTCCTGTGACATACGAAAACTCATGTTTGCGTCCACCGATTGAATTAAAATTTATACACAACAATAAGCATCACTAGAGGAAGCTCCCATTTAAGTTTAAAGGGTTGTCGTTTATTAATGGCTCTTCATGACGTTGTAATTTTTCTACTTACAATTTGGTATGAGTCATATTTATTTAGTACCTACAGATCATTTTTGCACAAATAAAACTGGTTTTGGACATTGCATTTCTTCCTGTGTCTAGCATTGTTGAAATAATATATGCTCTTGATTTGTTATAAAGTTATGTGTTTTTCAATTTTGTACTTGTAGGATAATACCAATGTTACTTTGCCTTAACCAAGGGATTTGTCACCAGTACCAAGACAAGATGAGGTATGCTTTATGTTATAAATTTCTCAAGTGCAAACAAAAAAAGAATTAACTCTTCTCTTGAAAAAGAGGGGGGATGTAAACTACTGATAAGCAGCAATAATTTTAAGGCCTAGTCAAAAAGGTCAATTTTGGCAACAATGTGTTATTAGACATGAAAGCCTTGACCTTTGACCTAAAGGTAAAATAAATGATTTTTAGTAATTTATTGGAGAACCCTCAGCGGTGGTCCACAAAATGGAAAATTTTAGGTCTGACTTTTCAAAATATCAGCAACTATGTGTACTATTTAAACTTGTAAACGGATGCATATATGTTACCCTGTCAGCATCCAGGCAAAAATAGGTCACTGTGACCCCTATTTCATGGCTAACTGACTTGGTTTAGCTACTGTTATATATTTCAAAAGAATATTCAAATGATTAGTAGCTAAGGACAAATGATAGGGCTACTAATTATTTTCATCCTTGAAATAAGCAAACAGGTGCTAATCATAGTTGAGGATGGTGCCATTAATATGGCTTTAATATGTTCCCTTACACAAATAACTGTCAATATGTTGAGGTCAGATAATGATACAAATTCAATGTAATGTTCATGCATGCACCCTTTAAATTTGCAGTGATGTCATATGGTTAGATGATACAAGAGAGAACAATATTGCTGAAATAGCAGATTTTATTCCAGACGTTCTGCCAGTTGCTGATACAAGGTACTGTTCATTATCAATACTACTAAAATAACGAGGTCAAATTTGTTAGCAGGCATGACGTAAAAACGACAAATCAAAGAATTAAACTTTGTATATAACTAATTAGACAATGGTGTTGATTAAAAATTACACCATTCCAGGCCCTTTTGTTTTTCACATAATTACTATTACCAATAATTAACAAGTTCCAGGCTGAATCTGATACCAATAGTACCTATTACCTGTTACCTGTCTCTGTCAGGCGCAACATCAAACAGTGTATTTGGGATTTGCTATATACACAGATCATAAACACACCGAACTTCATCATTATACAGGATTGGCACTACTTAATCACTCACCAAAAATATATATCTACAAGTAGTGTCCGGTTGTACCTGTACGAAATGTGACGCCTGTAAATGACACAGAAACCAGACGAAGAAATCATACTTTATCCTGGCGTCATTGCAGTGTTTAAGGAATGCATGTCCAGGAGGCGTCAACCAGGTGTCCAACTCTTCCAAGCTAATACCAGAGAGCCAATTTTTGAAAACAAATTCCCATGATCCTTTAAACAAAGCAGTATGGGTATTATAATTTAGCCCTTCCAACAGTTTTACGCCCGTAGGAAAATTTACGCGTTGCTTAACTCAATTTACGTCAGGTTAATCACTTTTTTCTACACCTGTAAGTGCTGCAAATTTACGTTTCCTGCTTCATGACGCATGGATCTGGACACGTAACTACATGTACCACTTACGCCTGGTTTCCGCCAGATTTCAAGGCATAATACGCCTTATAATTTCGTACAGGCTGAGTGATTAAGAAAACAGGGACGGATTTAAACAGAAGATTTTGAAAGCAGAGAAAACTGTACACCTTATAATTAGCATGACTTTATCAAATACCAATACTAAAACTCCATGCTGAAAATAAGGCATAGGTACTTTATTTCAGTCATGGACCCGCGATGTTGCGGGTGTGTTCTAGTATAACAATAAATACAATAGAACTATTATTTTTCAATTAAACTTGATCAAACATAGAAACCACATAAAATATAGCTATATATTGGGAAGACATCGAGACAATTTGTTCTTCCAGTGTAATCAAAGTGAGAAATATTTGGGCATCATAAACCAATCTTTATTTTTCAAAGCCTGTACTGTACATTTTATAAATCAATATTTATTTTAGACCAGACTGATATCATCATAGTTTTTGCTGAAGGTCTACAACAAATTTTATGTTCTGAGATAATTTCTTTTCCATTATAGGATCCAAACTCCATTGAGTGAAATGAAAGATGTTATAGGAAGCCATCGTGCCGATTTTATTTCAGCAGGTGTTGAGAATCCCCTGCTGATGGAAGTTCGTAGGGACTTTGTAATGCTTGATGCCTTAAGTTACATAAGGATTGCTCAGGACAAACTTAATCGTCCTTTGCATATTTCTTTTATAAATGAAGGTGGTGTTGACCTAGGAGGGTTCCGTAGAGAGTTTTTGGTCAATATTTGTCCATCAAGTTGGACATTCTATTTTTGTGACAGGAATATATAGATTACAAGTAGAAATTGTAAACTAGGAAAAGGGACCTTCACAAAAGTTCAAAAGGTTTTTGTGTAAAAGAATGACAAACTTTGGATCCAAGGTGCATTATATTCTCTTTATTTTCTGCACAAAATATGATTCCTAAAGATTGGTGAAACTATATGAGTGAACTTAAAAATGTTGTGACAGTCATAACATGTTTTGAATATTTTTAATACCCCCGCCGTAGCGGAGGGGGCATTAAGTTTTACACTTGTCCGTCTGTACGTACGTACGTACATCCGTACGTCCCAAAATTGGTTTCCGTTCTCTAACTTTAGTTTGCCTCAACCAAATGTTATGACTTATACACAATACTTATTACCACAAAACACAGATTAAGTTTGAAATTTGGTGGCGTTACTTTTACCGTTCAAGAGTTATGACCCTTAATAAATGGAAAAATTGCAGAATTTTTCGTTTCCGTTCTCTAACTTAAGTTTGCTTCAACATAATTTAATGAAACTTATACACAATGATTATTACCACAAAACAAAGATCAAGTTTGAATTTTGGTGGCGTTACTTTTACTGTTCTAGAGTTATACCCCTTTACAAATAGAAAAATTGCAGAATTTTTCGTTTCCGTTCTCTTACTTTAGTTTGATTCAACCTAATTTAATGAAACTTATACACAATGATTATTACCACAAAACACAGATCAAGTTTGAATTTTGGTGGTGTCACATTTTGACCTTTCTAGAGTTATGTCCCTTTACAGATTTAAAAATTGCTGAATTTTTCGTTTCCGTTCTCTTACTTTAGTTTGCCTCAATTAAATGTTATGAAACTTATACACAATGCTTATTACCACAATACTCAGATCACCTATAAATTTTGGTAGAGTCACTTTTACTGTTCTAGAGTTATGTCCCTTTATAACTTTATATGCAAGCGGTGGCATCATCTGTGTCCCATGGACACATTCCCAATTCATTTCTGTTATGTCTTTCTCCAAAAGAAGATTACACATTTCCATACCTTATATACACTACAACTGTATACCTATATATATTGAACAGATGTTCAGTGCACCACTGTGTTAAGTTTTATACTTTAAACCAAGGATAAATTATATTTTTAAATCCTATTTCCAAGTTATTGCCAGTAATTACCACTGTGTAAAAGAAAAGGCCAATGAAGAAACACCCTAAACAAACAGAATCCGATCATAGCAAAAAGAGAGCACATTCAAGCATTCAGTCCTGAGTTTTTACTACATTTCAATGAGACTGTTTAAGAAGGTTGAAATTATTGTTTCATTTTTTTTAACAGGGACATCAGGAAGTGTTACATTTCGGAAAAACTATCTGAAAAGAAAGAAAAACTCTTTCTTCTTTATGGGGCAGCTTTATTTCTAAAAATAGAATATAAAATTGGGATTAAGTTTGTAATGGTGCTATTTTATAAAAATAAAGTGACAGTCATTTCATTTCAACACTATACCATATGTCTCCTCTTTATAACGCACGACTGTTTTGTTGATTGAATAATCTTTGTCTTTTTTGTTAACAATATCACTGACCTGTTCTTTATTAGTTTATATTTTGTTTAGCAAATAAAGACTTATTTAATGAAAATTTAAATAGTAAATGAACATATTTGCAAATACAAAACTTTTTAAACACAAGTATGCATCGACTGATAATTAGATTTCAAAAGAGGGACGAAAGATACCAGAGGGACAGTCAAACTCATAGATCGAAAACAAACTGACAACGCCATGGCCAAAAATAAAAAAAACCAAACAGACAAATAATAGTACAGATGACACAACATAGAAAACTAAAGACTAAGCAACACGAACCCCACCAAAAACTGGGGGTGATCTCAGGTGCTCCGGAAGGGTAAGCAGATCCTGCTCCACATGTGGCACCCGTCGTGTTGCTCATGTTATTACAAATCCGGTAAGTAGTGTAATTCGGTAGGTCACATTCGTGAAAAGGGAAGGGTATTGTAGTTACGACATAAGGAACATATCCGATATCAAATGTGAGACGGTTATTCTATAACGGTCAACCAACTCGTGATGGCGTCCGTAAAATTTACGAAGCGATGACTTCAATTTCACCATTTGGAACTCTTGGTTTAATAGCTTCCTTGTGAGCAGCAATCCTCTATCAAGGAAATCATGATAGGAAATACAAGCCCGGGAATATCGTATCAATTGGGAGAAATGTACTCCATATGCAGGCGCTGCTGGAATGTTGCTACATAGAAATGGAAAGTTCACAATTGGGAAGCTGAAATGTCATTGTTCACTTTTGCACACATACATCGGAAATCCCAGCTTTAACCGACCCCCCTTTGAAAGTTTCTTCTTTCACGTTCTGGAATGCATGGACCAGACACCCATCATGCAGTGTTTTCAAAGCGGAAAGTTTTAGATCAACTTAAATTGCATCGACCTTTTTGCCTTCTTTCAGTCCGAGCATAGTTTAGTCTGAATACCATCCTGTGAACTTAAATCTTACTAACTGCTTAAACTCATCGTTGCCTGAAAGTTCGAGTGGCTGTAATTCACTGTAGACACTGGGAAAAACGTGTGCGTATATTGTTTTCATTTAGATTATCCATAAATGGGTCTACCCGATGTACACGAAAAAAAATCAAAAATGCAAAAAGCAGGTTGCTTAGCTTTAGCCAGTGGCAGTTTGTTGCGTATAGATTCTATATACAGTATACACACTTTCTCCGCATATTCAGTCGTTGTTGTTTCATTTGACCAATGGTTTTCAGAATAAGTAATGTTAATTTTTTTCGGAAATCTAAACGTTGGGAGACATTGGTTTGTGCAATCTTGGTAAATCACCTATAGTGGAAGAAATTTACCACCGAGAGTTTCTCAAAGTACAGTGGTCAGACGCTTGTCCTCAATACCTGTAATAGGAACTTGTGTGCTGCCTTCTTCCTTAATCACCTAACGGAATTATAACTGTAACATAAAATAATGTCCCAAATGAAATACTGTCCGCTGGACAATATTTTATGGAAAATATTGTCCGCATACTGTTCAGGACAATATTTCATTATGAAATAGTGTCCTTCTCTATGAAATTTTGTCAGGATTTCACTGTGAATTTCTGTCCATGACTGTCACAATATTTTACTGTGAATTTCTGTCCATGACAATATTTTACTGTGAATTTCTGTCCATGACAATATTTTACTGTGAATTTCTGTCCATGACAATATTTCACAGTGAGTGAAGTATTGTCCATGACAATATTTCCTAATCAAAGTATGTCCTCCCTGAGGAATCAGAGGCCATGAAATTGTGATTACTTCTGAAATCTTTGGAATATTGTTCTTGAAAAGTAAGTGTATAACAGTGAAATGCTCAATCAATAATTCTCATCTACACTGCACGAAGCATGCACATTTTGTTATTTATAATTAAAAATATTTGTATGGCAAGTATTTTATATAACAAACAAGCATATATTTTATCATTAGCTAATTTCAAATTTGCATTTACAAATGATCAATGTCAAATATGTTAATTGTACCAATGTAATATGTTTAAATTTAATAGTAAAGACTGACAATCAGATATAAAATAAATACGTATGTTTGTTATTATCAATAAAATAAAACACATTCTTACTTTCATCATTGTTTATGATAACATTGTTTCAAATATTATTTTTTTTCCTTTCGTAAGACACAACTTCATGACACTTCATCCATGTAATTAGGTCTTTCCACTTTTCTGTGGAAAGACCTATTGATTTTGTTCTGATTATTATAGGTCTTTCAACTATTTTGTGGAAAGACTTATTGTATTTGTTCTGATTATTTTTTTTATTCTTCCTCCAAATTTGTTTCTTGCCCTGTTTTGTGGTTTCGCAAGATAACGCTTAGATTTTTTGCATATGATATCGAACAGTTATTGCGCTTTTGAGACTGACCCTGTTTAGTCGAAAACTTTTTATTGTAAGAGTTATCTCCCCAAACACTGTTTTCTTTGTGGTGAGATCTCTTCCATAACCGCGAAAGAAAGCGACAAATTTATTTTACTAAATTGCTCGTTAAATCATAAGGATGTTTTCTCAAATTTTAACCGAATCAATTCGTAGACTCCATATGACAGTTATTTCCCCTTTTGAATTTGACATAAATGATATGTCAATGTATCACATGAATGGTAAGTAATACAGACCTAAGGTATGTGTATTTGAGGTTCTGGGTTCATAAAAATAATTTTAAGGTCAAGGTCAAAGGTCAAGGTCATGTTCTAAATTTTGACTTTTCATTGTTCCGAGATCTCGTTTAACAATCTTAGAGATATATTTAAAAGAACTAGTGCAAAATGTTTGCCTCATTGTGATGAAGATATGATACATTTGGTCTGGAACAATCCAATGACATATTATAGGAGTAATTGTCCCTGAAATGATTAATTTTAAGGTCAATTTATTATTACTCCAACTTGGTGCATAATAAAGCCATAGAGTCTTTTGCAAACTTTTGGTTGACATATGACCTTGAAAACTTTCAACCGGAAATGATCTTGAGTAAACCGGAAGTAGCCATTTTGCACTTATTTCATGGAATAATACCTTGAAACTATATTTTTTTTAAATACACATACAGAAACCTATCATTTGAGAACGGAAGTGACCTTAAATAAACTGGAAGTACCAAATATCTCCCTTATTACAAACAAAAGTATATAGAAACCATATATTTTTGGAATCAGTGTGAATAAAGCTATCATATGAGACCGGACGTGAAATTTTTTAACCGGAAGTTGACAATTATCTCCCTTACTTCAGGCAAAAATATATAGAAACCATATATTTATTGAATCAGAATGAAAAAAACATATGCTTGAACGCCAATAGTTACATTGAGTAAACCGGAAGTAGCTTCTCATCAATAATTTAGAAAATTGATGTGGAAAGACCTTATATTGTTCTCTGAATAATTGGTTTTTAATTAGGTCTTTCCACTTTTCTGTGGAAAGACCTATTGGTTTTCTTCTGATTATTAGGTCTTTCCACTTTTCTGTGGAAAGACCTATTGTATTTGTTCTGATTATTATTATTATTATTATTATTTTTATTTTTTTCTTCCGCCTAATTTTGTTCTCACGTAAAATTTTTGTTTCGCAAGATGTCGCTTAGATATTTCTTATATAATATCATACAGTTTATGCGCTTTTTATTTTCACCCATTTTAAGCCGAACAATTTTCTTTGTAGGAGTTATCTCCCTGAACACTGTTTTCCTTGTTACTGCATCTCCTCCGTAACCATAAAAGAAAGCAACAAATTTATTTTACCAAATTGCTCGTTATATCCTCAGGATGTTTTGTCCAATTTTGACCGATGCGATACGTAAACTCCATATGAGAGTTATTTCCCCTTCTGTATTTGACATAAGGGATATATAAATGTATAGCATGAATGGTAAGTAATAGAGACCTAAGGTATATTGATTTGAGTTCCTTGGTTCATTTAAATGAAATTGAGGCCAAGGTCAAAGGTCAAGGTCATATTCTAAATTTTGACTTTTCCTTGTTATTTGATCTCCTCTGTCACTTTTAAAGATACAAATTAAAGAACAAGTGCAAAATGTTTGCCTAATTGTGATTAAGATATGATACATTTGGTCTGAAACAATCCAATGACATCTTATAGGAGTTATTGTCCCTGAAATGATTCAATTCAAGGTTAATTGATTATTACTCCAACTTGTTACATGATAAAGCCATAGGGTCTTTTGCAAACTGTTGGTTGACATATGACCTTGAAAAAGTGACCTTGAGTGAACCGGAAGTAGTATTTTTTGCACTTAATTCATGGAAAAGTACCTAGAAAGCATATATTTTTTGAATGATCATAGGTTAACCTATCATTTGAGACCGGAAGTGACATTTTATAAACCGGAAGTAGCATATTATCTTCCTTATTATAGGCATAAGTATATACAAACTATATATTTTTGGAATTAGTGTGAATAAAGCTATCATATGAGACCGGAAGTGACATTTTCCAAACCGGAAGTTGGCAATCATCTCACTTATTTCAGGCAAAAGTATATAGAAACCATTTATTTATTGAATCAGTATGAAGAAATCTATACTTTGACGTTATTTATAACTTTGAGTAAACCAGAAGTAGCTTCCTATCAATTATTTAGAAAATTGATGTGGAAAGACCTTCAATTGTTCTTTGAACAATTGGTTTTTAATTATTAGGTCTTTCCACTTTTCTGTGGAAAGACCTATTGTATTTGTTCTGATTATTAGGTCTTTCCACTTTTCTGTGGAAAGACCTATTGTATTTGTTCTGATTATTATTATTATTATTTTTTTTTTTTTTCTTCCGCCAAATTTTGTTCTTGCGATCAATATTTGTTTCGCAATATGTAGCTTAGATATTTCTCATATTGTATCGTATAGTTTATGCGCTTTTAAGTTTCACCCTGCTAAGCCGGACAATTATCTTTGTAAGAGTTATCTCCCTATTCACTGTTTATCAAGTGTGTGCATCTCCTTCGTAACAAAAAAAGATATCGACAAAATTCTTTTTCTAAATTGTTCGTTACATCCTCAGGAATATTTGGCTAATTTGGATCGAAGCGATTCGATGAAATTTTATAGGAGTTATCTACCTTTATGAAATGAATTTGTCGTTATGTTTTTGTTACTCATAACCTGTAAGCCGTATAAACCTATAGTCTTTTTATTTAAGGTCCTTGGATCCTTACTTTGAAAATGAGGTCAAGGTCAAAGGTCAAGGTCATGTTCTGAATTTTGTCTTTTGCTTGTTTTTGCATTTTCTCCGATATTTTTAATGTTATATATTAAAGAACAAGTGCAAAATGT